AATGCATGTGTAATGGAAAATGTATTTTCTAGTGCAGCCTCTGAAGATTATATCAGCCGGGGCAGATATTTGGTTCAACAAGGGCAGAAAGAAAAAGCCGACAGTGTCCTCATCATCAACTTATGTACAGTATATCCCTCCCCATTGCAAGAAGAGTTATAGCCTGTGTCTGTGCGGCTTCTCTCTCATGGTATACACCGTCTCAATTTTACATTGTAAATCTCGTCTCAGTTTGATGCCATTACAAGCTTTATATTAGTTTCTCAAATAACCCGTGACAACGAGTGCTCTCCATTTGAGGCACATTCAAGATGATTATGTAAAATCCAGACTCTGTGTTGTAAACTTGAGTCAACACTTTATGTAGTTTTATGTAAATGTCACCATTACTGTGCTCTGTAATGTAGCTTTTCCTTTTCATACAACATTCTTCTGGCAAACGCAACCATGTGCGATTCTGAAAAGACCCAATGTCTACATTATACCCGGTCAAATGTTTTATGGCCCGCGGGCAACAATTCGGAGAGAAATGGATACTGTGTTAGAACAGCCACACACTCCAGGGAGATGCAAATCAGAGGAAGATCATGCTAATGCATGTAATGACGGACCACAGTGAGTGAAGCTGGTGGGGAAATACACCTCCGGAGTAAACTGGGAAGTGCCAAATATATGTACAGTCAGACTAAACACAGTCTGACTGTCATTAATCAAGACATTTGGGGGTGGATTTACATGCTGTTGTTACTGTAAGTCAATGTTTTAGGTAGGCCCACACCTGATAGGTATCATAGTAAATATCATATATGTTTTATCATCTCTAGACTTTCCTTAGATCTCAAAAAAAGGAAGAGCAAAACAATTCAATTCAGCCGTGAATTTGTCTTTAAACTCTCTAGACATCATTAAAAGATGTGCTGGGTGTTTTTTTCCGAGTTATGATGATTTCTATTTTGTCAGTAAGAAATAACAATTCAAAGCTATACTCCTATCTCGAGTATTCTGACTATTATACTTAGAAGCAGATCCAAAAGGGAATCAGAAACAAACCACATGTTGCCATTAGCTGTTGGAGAGCACTGCAGTGTTGGCTCTCCAAAGAGTTTGTTTTCATTGGGGTGATTTTGTTCTTTTTGGTCAAATCTTTATATTCAAAACCTACATAACTCTTAACAGCATCAAGAGTTATGTAGATCAGGAATCTGATCTACAGTAAAGGTCACTGCAGAGGACCTCGAGCACTAGTTGCATGCAGGCAGGGCTCTTTCAAGAGTGACATTATGTAATGTAGACCCAGTCTGCGTCTCAGATGTTCACAGTTGACAGCCAGGCAACTGTTTTCAAACACATTTGATATCCAGTGACAGGATGTATCCAATGAGAACATTGAGGACAGTGGAAAACTATAAAGCCAACTATAAAATGTAAAACCTTTGCTTCCATTGCATTCTTGGTATGTGAGAGTTTTCCATCAGTTGTCGTTTTCCATTGAAGGAAATGTATTGAGAATTTGTAAGAAGTCCAGAATGACAGAGCGTAAACTAGACAGCGACTGCAAGACTTTAACCTGCACAGAATCAGTAATCTATACTGCAAGCAGCAATGCAGCACCAGCAAATGTTGCATAGTTTGATTGCACCTTTGTGTGTGTGTTTGTGTGTGTGTGTGGGGGGGGGCAATATTGTATCCATACACGGACACCAAGTATCAATCTTTTATTATTTAAATGATTAAAACTGCAAATACAAATTGAACCTTGTGGTGACAAGCCTTTTTTTGAGTCTGCTAGATGGTGACGAGTGTTGTCTCGTGCGGCCGTGGGTAAAGTCAGCGGGATTGGTAGGAGGTTGGTCAAAACAAAGATGGAGTGTTGGTCAGTCCGTCTGCTTGACTGACAAAGCCAATTTGCTGCAATAGAAATGATTAAAGTGAGATGAATAGAGTAAAAAGTGTAACCTATTATATAAAAGATATGTTGACAAACGGCATCATTTGAAATGGGAAAAAAGTGAGACATTTAAATATATGGTATCGCAATACTCAGCATGTCGCAAAATGTTTAAAATCGCAACAAGATTGTATTGTGACTTAAGTATCGTGATGATATCGTATCGCGGGCCTCTGGTGATTCCCACCCTGACTGGCAACCTCTCACGCTTTTTGGTTTTCTTGCTATAATAAGGAAAGAAATTGAGTGTTTCTCCATCCTGACTGCTCCAAGCAACCAGCTCAGGCCTCACGTCATACTGTCAATACCACAGCATAGACACTCCGACTGTGACTGAAGGGCAGAGATAGATACAGAGAGGAAGGAAGGAGATAGACATATGGACAGAAGAGGAGAAAAGAGAGAGAGAAGAGGGATGAATGCTGACTGTAACATTGTGTAACTCTGACAGATTATTAATTGTGCTATTAGTTTTCAGCAGCAGCTTATGGTTGCCAATCTACACAAAAGAGGCATACCAGCAATGGCAGTTTGGTTTAGAGTTTTCAATAATGCACTACTGAGGATTGTAGACTTCATCGTTGAGTTTTACATAGGTTGTCAACCTTTAACCGCTGCACAGTTGAAGCAGGAAACAGATTTTAAAAGTCAGCCAGTTTCTTGGAAATAAGAGTTAAGTTGCACAATCATGGCTAATAAAACCCCTTTAGACTTAAAGAAGGAAAATCAGATTAGAGTCTGATGAAGGCTGTATAAAAGCTGTCGTAAAATCTTAAGGGAGAACTTGATGTTCCAAACTGCTACAGCACCTCTTCGCCATCATGCGCATAGTTCATTTGTATGTGTAGCTATATGGATCTCGTTCATTCTATTCTGTCATTCATTAGTTTTCTCCCACTCTTTTCTTCGTTCCTCCCTCTGTCTTTGCTCCCTTTGCTGTCTGTTCTCATTTTTTTCTTCTCTTTCAGAGGAAGACAGATTGTGAAGGGGAGTGTATGTGAGTAAAGTAGCAGCTCCCCTACTATAAACCCCTGAGCCTCCCCTTCATCACCGAAACACTCCACCCAAAAAATCTGAATCCCTAGAGGGCAAATTACATTCAGACCCTCCAGCTTGTACAGATAAAAGGTTTCGGCTGTGGCTGAATAAACCCAGTTCCCCGGCTTCAACCGTGAGCCTGGCCTGAACTGTGCGGTGCTGCGGCAGCTGGCTGCCCGCCTCCCAGCCTGCTGTCCGGGGACAAACACGACACCGACGAGGAGGCCGGGGGAAGAAAGGAAGACACGGGGAGAAAGGCAAACTCTTACTTCACCACTCCAGCTTCTCAGCTCCTTGCCGTCAAGATAGTTTAAGAAAACATCTGATCCCAAACCCAAGTCCCAGTCTTACCTCTCGCAGGTAGTCTGCTCTGTTATGGAAGTATGTTGACGACACAATATTTGAGAGAGCACAAATCAAATCTCTTTGAGATTCAGATGATTTAATGGTAATAATTATTATTAATGATAATAAGGTAATCATTCAGAATAGGCGTGTCCAAATCCGACATACTATATGAATATATTAGGCAACGGTGAGAGGATCGGTTGGATCAACAGCATTATGTGGACTTCAACTCTGAAAAGGACATGACCCTGTTGTCCAGATGTGGGTGTGTCCTGTCGCAGCTTGCTAATCAAAACTGGTCGGCAAGCGACCTCTTGTGATCCCAAGTGCTCGGAAGCTGCAAAAACTGCTGTAAAAAATTTGAAGACCTGACTGAGAGACCGGTGCGTGCATGATCGGGATTACACGCTGCAATTGGAGACTGAGTAGCGCTTTGTGTTCTCGCAAATCTTTGTCGATGGTATACGTCCATGCTCTGTCAGATAAGTCTAGAAAAAGGACTAGAAAGAAAAGTCACCCAGCGTGGAAAAACAGGAAAATTGGAGCAAAAATTGTTTTTTTTCTCTGCAGAATGGATCCAGAATCCTGAAAACAGTAACTTTGAGTTGAGTTTGTGTCTTATGTATTCGCAGCAGCAATATGAGAAAACCCAAACCGATTTAGAATTAGTGTTGTCTCAGACACTTGATTGTCTCCTGTTGGATGACAACATGGTATCTAGGTTTCTTTTCCATTTGAAGTCACCATCCACCAAACTAAATATGTTCACAATATTCTTATTGAAAGGAGTATGTGTTTCAGAAGGGTCACCGAACACATCTAGCACACGAGGGTCATGCAAGTTCTGCTTTAGGGTGGATTTCCCCAGAAACAAATCAGCGTGCAGCCAAAACAAACTCCTGCTGATGGTTTGCCTCTTGCCTCCGGTCTCTCTGGCCTGCTTCTACACAGCAGCCGAGGGACCTTCAGCACTCAGAGGGAGGAGCGGAGGAGTCCTCCAGCCCTCCCACCGCCTATAAGACCAGGGGCAGACGGAAACACTCAGACAGCAGGCACACGTGGAGCAAAGAGGCAGAGAGAGAGAAGGACGTGAAGAGAGGCTGTGAGAGAGAGAGAGAGAGAGAGAGAGAGAGAGAGAGAGAGAGAGAGAGAGACCAATAGAGAGCAAGAGACAGTAAAACTGCTGCCACAGACTGGGAGTAGTTTTTGCTATTGGAATTGAAACAGACAAATATAGAAACAAAAGACCAAGAAAGAGGTTTAAAGAAGAAAAAGAGGACAAAATCAGCGTGCCATTTTAAATTTGGCTTTCTTGTAAAGGATTAAACAGAAAGAAGAACTGACCTTTTGGAATGTGAAGTGTTTTTGTATGAACCAAGAGAGAAAAACACAGCTGCTCTGAGGTCAAGTTGCTCTTGACCACTGACTAAGGATCAACTGGTTGATCTTTTTTAAACCCAGCCTAACTCTGCACCATAAGGGCTACATCTGACTCACCTGGCATCACTAAAAGAGAAGTTGGGGGTGAAGTAACAATTTTAAAGGGTTGGCGCCTTTAATCAGCAACACCAACAGAAAGTTTGCCAAGTGGCTTCTGATTAAACCTCGTCAAGTGGAAGTCTCACGAGGATCGACCAGTAGCTGACAGAGCGTTGTTACGTTGAAGATGACATTCACCATGCTGCGCTCGGCACCTCCCGCAGGCCGCTTCTTGTACGGCGACATCGCCCTCCTCTCCGAAGACGACGACGAGAACGGGAGCGAGGGTTCGGGCTCTGAGGAGCATGGCTCCTCCAACTTCCGCCTGTCCTCCTCGTCGCCATCTGCCTTTCACATCAAGATGAACAGGAAGAGGAAGCTGTGCGGTGCAGGAGGGTGCGCAGGGGTGGACGTAGGGACCATGATGGGGATGCTCATCCCCCAGGGGTCTCCCCCCCATGGAGAGGTTCGCCAGAGGACCGCAGCCAACGCGCGGGAGAGAGATCGCACCAATTCTGTCAACACGGCATTCACAGCACTGCGCACACTCATCCCCACCGAGCCTGCAGACAGGTACTGAGTCATGATGTTTTATCTGTGGCACATTCTTAAAGTCTCAGAACTACACTTTTGCTGTCATAGAACCAAAATATGTATTTTCCGATGGATAACATGCACCTTTAATCATAATTTAATTTATTTTGGGGCCAAAATCTTTATTGTTTTTTCAAATTATTGTAGACTTTTTAGATATTTTGTGTTGTAATTAACACCATAAATCTCCTTCTGGTTTCATGATTAGGAAGCTGTCGAAGATCGAGACTCTACGTTTGGCCAGCAGCTACATCAGTCACCTGGGGAACGTCCTGCTCCTGGGCGAGGGGCTTCATGACGGACAACCGTGCCACGCTCCCTCACCGCCGTTCTTCCATGTTAACTCCTCCCCCAACCGAGGATCTGACCAATCAGCTCAGCCAAAGCACATCTGTACTTTCTGCCTCAGCAACCAGAGGAAATTGGTGAGCAGATGAAAATGATGAATCAGTGAGGAAGAAAAAAGGCCAAATCAAACAAAACAAAAATGCTATGTATGGTAAAACCTCCACCAAAACTGTGCTATAATTATCATTCAAAGAAAGATCAAGGAAAATATATACAGCTTTTGATTATGACATAAATACTACAATGATAACTATCATACATTTCTTTAGTGTCTTTCAATTCCTGTAAACAGAGCACTTGAAATTATTTTTCCAGAATTAGAAAACAGAGAAACTTGATCACACCATAGAGTGAAGCTTCTTTTGGGGAAACTGTGCAGTGCTTTAGGGTCAACTTGGTGTTTAAAGCTGACCTGAGATCAGTGACTGTGCCTATAAACCTGATTGGCCCTGAGGGACATTAAAAGCAGAACCTCTTTTAAAGTCCTCTGTTGGGGTGAAGGACTGCGTATTATTGTTCTGTTGGGGGTTAGTTTTACTCGAGCAGGTGGCTTGAAAGTTCAAGGTGCTTTCTGAAACTCACTAGACATTTCAGTTAGTCGAGGTGAACTGAGAAGACGAGCATGACCATTGCGTAAAACCTCCAACTGTGGTGTTTTTCTTTCTTTTTCTAAGAATAGGAATTTAAAGTTTTCAGCGAGTGAGATTCATGACCAGGAGCCCATGAAATCTATCCAAAACCATGTGTATAATTTCAAGAATGTATTGACGTCAGCTTGAATATGTGAAGGTTTTAATCATGCTGCTGCAGAACTGACTAACTGGCAATGAATTTGTTCCACTGAATATGGACGTCAGGAGACAAAAAACTGCATTTTCAGCATTTTGTTCTACTTAGCTATGTGTTTGTACACAGGTAAACGATTCAGGAATTCATAGACACACCACAAAACAAGCTACAATGAATAGTCACACTCATCATTTCAGTGTCAAAGATAGCATTTCAGATCACACTTTGTAGCAGTTGTCAAACTTCCTCCACACTTCCTCCACTGCTGCGCTGTCGGTTTGCGACTTAATAGAGATACAGAAAAAGGAGAACTCGATCCTGTGCAACTCACATTTGATTGATTCAACACAGGAAATAGACATAATCAAAAACACTCTCAGCATAAGAAAGTCATCAGTCTGATGAGAAGTAACGGGGAATGAAGAATTTCTATCAGCCGACTGAAATCAAACGTGTACGAACGCAGCTCAGACTTCAACAAACACCCCCGGTCTGTGCAGGAGATGATAGAGAGGTGACGTCCACTCAACTTCCCCCTCTGACCGAGCCGCTGCCCATTTAGTAGGATTTATGGGTAAGGAGCTGACATCTGGCAGACTCCCCCGTTACCCCAGCAGTGTGTGAAAGCTAATACCCTCCTCAGTGTCTAAACCCAGAGACCCTTTAGCTGGGGGATAACCTGAGTCCCAGCAGTGTGTGTCTCGCCCTCCCTCCTGCCTCCCCTCTGAAGCTTTGTGAGTGAAAGCCTATACGTCCTCAACGTCTGAAACGCAGACACCCTCGGCTGAGAGATAACTAGCCTCAAATCAGACTTGCTCTCCATCTCTCTCTCTCTCTCCTCTGTCTCCTTTTTCTTCAGTTTGTCCTCCCTAAGTCCTCCATTTTCATCCTCTTCGTCCTTCTCATTGGGTTTCACTCAGCTCTCTGCATATCGATCAGCCCAGTGGAGGTCAGCGCTGTCAGTAGCTGTGTAATACTATCTGCTGCTGTCAACTCGCTGCTGCAGACGCATGACTGACCTGTAAATGCATGCTGCGTAGAAAACGATTTGGAAACTTTCTCATGTCAAAACCTTCAACTGTGGACACTTTGACTAAGTTTATCTTTCTTGACCTAAGTCACACACGGTTTCCCATTAGCTCAGTAACCGCTGACTGTTCTCCGGACACTTGCTGTTTTCATTTTTATTTCACTGATTAAGTGAACCCAGGTGAGAGTCATCATCTCTTGGTTATCCCTTGATTCATTCCCCTAAATAAGTGAGCCGACAGGCGATGAGTTAGGGAAAGATTTTGAAGTTTTAACTTCGATGCGGTTTCTGCAAAAGGAGTGAAAAGATGTCCCATGTACATTCAGTAGAGCTTTTATATGCTGCACCACATAGAATAATCCTCCCTGCTGGGTTCAGCTGACAAATATAGAGAGATTTATTTCTTCAAGTAAATTAATACAACTGCTGAGCACCGTAGTTTTTAGTAAACATTGCTCAAACAGGTGTAAGGAGTGACCGGATGGGGACTGTTTTCTGCGGCGGATTAATACGCATTTGGTGCCTTAGCACTTACAGCAGCAGGACTGTGTTTGTGGGATTGACTCAAAATAAACTGCCCATCATAAACCTAATGAAGGAACATGTCACCCAGATTAGCGGTGTGGATTTTTGATTTGTTTTCATAGTTTTTGGACAACAAGACCAAGTAACTAGTATATCAGGTTTTTAATACACACACACACACACACACACACTCACACACACAATACATATAATCAATTCGTTGCTGGTTTTGGTCTTATCACAGATGACAAGAAAAATAGATTATCACCACACGTATCGTTTAAGGAGAGTCATAAGAGATCCCAGGCTCACCTGGCACATAAATGGTTAACTCTGATTGGAAGAACCTGAGAGAATTTCATTTTCCCTGGAAAAGTGACGATACAGTGTGTTTAAGTGGGCTAAAGGGCAGAACCAGTGCTGGTGATTACAGAGAGGAAACGATTGTGAAGGTAAAATGAGACTTTGTGTCCTGAGTGCTCTCATTGTATGTTTTTATGGTCATTGAGGTTCATCGCAGCTGTCAGGTCTGCTTAGAGCAGCTGCTTCAATTATGCTTATTTCCAATGTGGGAGAGGGTGAAAGTGAGAAAAGTATACGCTCATTTCCTCTTATTATGTGTGTATACAGTATAACTGTTTCAAAACAAACAGTCCTGTTAGTAATGACTACTGCACAGAGAGGGCTACACTATTACAGATTACATATTCAGTGGAATACTAATGTGACTGTGTGAGTTTATGCACACGGTTCAGAGAGAAAATCCATTTTACACAGGTGAAGGATATATGATTTATTCTGTATAGACTTTCCAGAAAACGATATGGGATACTAGAGATTGAAGTTAATTAAAACCTCCTCACTGCGATGTCCTGAGAAATATATATCTTTGTGGCAAGACATTGTTTAGCTAATTCAACGGCTATTTTATTATAGTTTATTAAGCTTAAAGACAGGTTTTTTTTCTAACCCATAAATGAGTAAACACTTCATCCTTCAGTTTATCAGAGCAATTCAAAAATCACCAAAGTTTGAGAGACATGGTTTTCTTTTTGAGAGTGACTCATTGTTTGTCTTGAGATGTTTAGAGCCAATTGGGGAACAGTGAAAAGCTCCTCAGTGAGCCTAAAGCACGAGAAATAGTTGTTTTTCTTTTCTAGCGAGTCCCTTTGAGTATCTTTATTGCTCAGCTTCAGTGCGGTGATCATAGTGCAAATCTATTCTTCTGCACTACTAGATACTCTTTTTTGAATTTTGTATTCCCCCTCACGTTGTCCGGTATGGAGCCACACACTGTGGGACGTTTGCACTTGGTATCTTTTGATCAGAAGCCAAGCTGCTCCTCTGGCGTACACACATATATCCTGACAAAGTTTGCTTTTCAAAAAAAAAAACTGCTCCGGGGCGGAGCGCCGGCAGTTTGGCATGGTTAAACTGGAGCGCAGCCTTCACATACTAGTGTCTTTTGATAAGTGCCGTAAAAAACATGGGACGCTCGTGATGGCTACATCTGTAAATGAGATGTACACGGCTGAGGACGGAGGGTCGAGGTGAACAAAGGGCTGCTCAAATCCCCGCGCTGTCTGGTTGATTGATGCAGATATCCTGTGCTAGGCCTCTCTGCTTCTGCTGATCGGTGCAACTGTCAGGTGCCTGGATTTAACCTACGGCAGGAAACCTGCACGATTTCAGTTTGTTTAGTGCCGTTACATCTGCTAGAAGTCACCTTTAATGACCTCGAAATGCAGTTGAGCATCAGCGGCGCTATTTAAATACATATTTAATTTGTGCTATTGGCGAAGGCACTACGAGTATCAGTATATTGCTACTGAAGTATATTGACATGGTGTTTGTACAGTATATACAAAACAAAAACAAAGCTTTTAGAAATATGTCGATCTGTCTGCTTTGTTGTCTTTAGGCCATAGCGCTTGAAGCATAATTACAGCTTCCTCCGCTGTCCGCAACTGTGGCTTATTTCTTTTGGCCCAGCACAGTGAGAGGGTCAATTCAAGTCGATGGCAAATGTAAACAGGAATGGCGATTCATCTGCCAGTAACAGCAATCAGCTGAACTCTTTCCTTTTCGAGCTGTGTATGAAAAGTCCAAACATTTTCCAATATTTAAAAATCTAAAGTCGCCCATTTGATGAATTAAAAGAGAATTTATACGTTTGGAAACAAAATAAAAATCTGGCAAAAATATTACGACTATTATAGTGCGGTTGCTGTAAAAAGGCCATCATTCCTTTTGAGATGCTTACATTCAGTTGGGTTTTACAAGCATTTTAAGGCACGACCCTGATTTAACTCCAACTTGAAGGAATCTCATTTATTTGGAATTTCTAGAAATGAAAAGGAATTGTGCAAATTTAGCGAAACGGCACGCACAACAAATGATGAATACAGCTCTTAATATCTTAAACAGTTGTAATTTATATCTGAGCTGCAGTAAAACTCTTTCATGTGATGATTTTTGTGGGTGACTGGAAAGCTGGGCGTATGAAGAGATGGTGGCACTAAAACTGCACCATGCAATTGGAAACTGACTTATCTGTACTTGTGTGTGTGTGTGTGTGTGTGTGTGTGTGTGTGTACGTGTATGTGTGTATGAGTGTGTGTGTTTGTGTAGTTGAGAGAGAGGAGTGAGTCTGTATATATATATATATATATATATATATATATATATATATTTGTGTGATTGTTACTTTGAGTCGAATGTGAGTGACAGAGAGTGAGAGTTTTTACATCCATACTGCACACACACACACACACACAGGCTGGCCCTCTGTGTCTGGAAGTCATTGGCAGTGCAGAGCAGAGCAACAAATGAGCTAATTGTTCTGTAAATGATTTATCCTCTGCTGAGGCCTGTTCAGCCAGTGTTTAATTCAGCTGCTGCTATTAGAAACACATTGACGTTGGGCTTTGATGGTGATGTTAAAGAAGCCTGGAAACCGCTCCCTGTGAAACGCCCTCGCTGCTTACACACACACACACACACACACTCACACCCACGCATATGACAAATATGCACACTCGCACACATGCATGACCACAGAAATACTCACACACTCACAGACTTTTATCAAAAGCATTTCATACCTTGATTTTCTTTTTATTCCTTAGTCTTTTCAGCCAGACGGCAGTTCATTGCTTCTTTCTAGACACCCCCCCCCCCCCACACCGAAAGAAAAGAAAAAGATTACTCACTAAAGGAGCGCTGGATCACGACTGTGCTTTCAACACTTTCTAAACTAATGGTGTGCAGGAAGTTGTGGAAAGAGGGATGGAGAAGGAGAGAAAGAGAGGCAGATAAATAGCCAACGACTCAGCGGAATAATCAACCTCGCTATTTATCCACAGTTGTTTTTTTGACTGTGGTGAAACTACACTTTGCTTCTTTTATAGAGATCAAATGAACCGTGCACCTTAAGAAAGCCTAAATAGGACATGTGCAGGAGCGCGCTGATGACTGCGGTTTCTACAGTGGTTTGGTTATTAGTCTGTTTTCACTGGGGAAAAGCGTTACGTCACTTGTGTGCATGAAGTAGACGTTTCGAGGTCAGAGATGAAAACTAAATTGCCGTCATTTACTGATAATGCTGGTGTTGACGTGGGGTTAATGTGTTGTGCCTCATGAGCGAGAGCTTTGCTTTGTTTGTCTGTCGTTTCATGCTATGCTAAGGAGGTGCATCGAAGGCAGCTAGTTTACTGCAGGCAGTTTTCAAATGTATTCTTCCCCACGTTCAACGTGTGTCTGTGTGTGTCTGTGTGTGTGTGTGTGTGTGTGCGTGACTGAGCGAGCCTGGCTTGGTGTATGGCTGTATGCCGTCGTCATGCACAGACTCGTCGGTAATTTTCTAGCACAGATGGAAGCAGTTAAACCCTAATTTAACACCAACAGAAGAAGTCGTGTCAGATAACTAACAAAATCTATTAGCAAAACTATCATTCTGTTGTCATTGGGCCTCCAGGGAGAGGGCTGCTCACGGAGCAAATTAAAACAAAACTACAGAAATCTGAGCCTGGTAAAGAGCAGAGCTAAAGTAAATCTATAACACAGAGAAAAGCAGAAATTGCCAGTTTAGACGGTGCAGTTTCTTAAAACAATATCTCAAAAGCTAATGACGTATTGGCTGTTGCAGGGTGCTCATCTTAGCGCTGATGATAAAGTGCCGGTTGGTGCGTAATGTAGCAGAATGAAATCACCCGAGACTGGCCAGAAAGAAGTGGCGCTGGAGCCGTTATAACAGATCATTAAAACGTGGGAACAATTAGACGCATGTGTGGCCGGCTGGTGAGAATTACAACTGATTAGGCAATCTAAGATAAATCAAGTGTTTTTCAGAAGCCACCGGGATGCTTATTAGCAAACCACTATGAGCACGAAGTACATGTCTGATGCATCCAAGCCACATGATGGCATGACTTCAGCTCATTTGGTGTGTTAGTTAGCTTGATTTAAAAGTCTGATTATTGCACTATTTCAGTGTGTTTCTATGTTCCTCTCATCGGGGATCATTCATGAGAGTAATTACAGCTTCTGTTGAGGGAACTGACGCATATTCACATATTTTCGGTCGATAAACTAAAGGGTTATTACAGTTTTCATTTCACGGTTGAATACCAATCTCCTTATACGATTGTCGGGCCAGTACCCAAGAGGAATTATTTTTTCCAACCAGTCATCCCTCTCTTCATGCAGCCGAGAACTAAATTAGATGTTTGTATTTGACAGAACGGATTAATGCAGGGGGAAAAAAAGAGAGAGAGAAAGAGAGAGAGAGAGCATGGAAAATCCACAGTTATAGGTGAATTTTATAGCCGGGATTGAGTTTCGGAAGAAAAATAAAGTTTGAATTTGTAGGGTTGATAAGATGCGGTGAAGAGAGCGTTTACTATCTTCATATTAAAGTTAAGACCTTGATAAAACAACAATATTGTTCCAGTGTGGTAATATCATCATATCGTATCTAAAGTAAACATCATCAGGTAATCATATTAGTGTTGGACAAATCTCCCCCCTGGGAAGTCAGTGGTATGTCTATGTGTGTGTGTGTGGGTGTGTGTGGGTGTTTGGAGAAAAAGAGAGAGCAGAGATGTCATCCGACCGTGCCATATTAGTCTTCAGGAGATTGTTTTGACTGCCAGGCCAGCCTTACAGCCCCCCTCCTCCTGTTTTGACTGAACCAGTCCGACTCCAGCTGAACCGCCTACACCAGCTATACAGCTGTGCTTCCTCAACTATCGCTAAGCGCTCACATGGTAATTTGATGAAATTTGGTGAATGACCCAATTGTCCTGCGCCGTCATTGAGTGAGATTATTTCATGGACCCACTGTCTCTAAGCTGCCTCAAGTACTTTATTTCCCCCTGATAGATACCTCCAGTTTTCCACAGCTCCTTCCAGCAAACACAAGAGCATGGCTGCACTTGTCTCATCCAGTTGTTGGTTTCATATGTTTGTGTTAGTAGAAAGCACAGTGATAGCACTGCCACTGTGAGGCCCAACTCATAGACGATTACATAGAACGTATATATGTGTTGGAAGACAACACTCCTCGGGCCATTAAGCCACCAGACGTTACTCTGAAAGCACAAATTCACCTTTTTTCCCATCTGTGAACGATTGTTTGAGCTCTTTGTTAGTGACCATCGTTCATATTTCTTATACTGCGTGGTGAGATAAATATGCAATCCTGTCCCCTAGAAATTACACTTATATACTATTTATTTGTTTTGTTGTGGTGTTTTGCGTGTAGTTAAGTTCAAGCAACAAAGTATTTTGTTACGGTAAGGAAAAGAAGCCTTAAGCCTTATGCCTTAAGTCACTTTTGGCTTTTTCATTATTTAACCTAAAACCGAAACATAACTATAAAACTGTTGATTTATGCTTCAGCAAAAGCAGATATCGTAGGAAAACAAATCAAATACACTGTGATTGAATTACGTTACGTACGTTCACTATCAACATTTTGCAACTTGGTAGATATGTTGACAAAAACATAAAGTTACACAAAACAAAAGTCTTGTGGCTGCTATTAATTCTGGTGTATTGAGTCAGCTAAAATAACAAAATGATGGTAATGGTTCATGCCTAGATGATCGCGCTCTAATCATGATCCTCTGCTCCAGCTGGAGGAAGAATTGACAATAATAGTTCCCGTGTCTCCTCACACTCCCCTCAATCAGTGGGAGGACGATTCCTGTCCAAATCCTATGATCTCACTCTCTCATTACCGCCTGATCCCCTTCCAAACACCTACCCACCTTTTGTTGATGTCAGTCAAACGGATTTTTACAAACACCTACACCTTGTGCACGGTCTGAGAGGAAATGTGTAACAGGTGTGCGGCTGATGAGAGGAAGGCGAGGGGGGGAAGGGGGGGGAACCGAGAGGGTTAGCTGAGACGATATGAGAAGGGGAAAGAAAAGTCAGCAGAGGACAGGAGTGCAAGAGAGGCTGACACACACTCTGGGGGAAATCTTTACCCGACACCTTTGTGCACTTTCACCACCATTTGAAATGAGTTTTCACTTTACAAAAAGAATATTCAACATATTTGTCCATGAAAATCCACCACAAATTGGGTTACGACAGCCCGACATCATTTTCCAGCTCCGAGTCAATCAAAGCCCTGAAAAGTAATGAGTAAGAACGGGATGATGTGTGTTTCGTATCACTCAACGGTGTGTACGTTCAAATCCCTTTGACTGTAGCTTGAGAAGCGAGTGGTAGATGGCCTGAGGAGCAGAGCAGAGGTTAGGTGAGGAGGGAAAATGTGATGTTATTTTCCTGGCCAGATAGAGAAAGGCTCCTCGCCAGCCGGGAAATCAAGGCCTCTCTGTTCTGATACCGCAGATAAATGAGTTCAAGCGGGGCTGTCATGCATCAGGCTGTTATAAAAGCAGCTACCACAATTAATGTACAGCATGCACGCTGTTGCGCAGAATGTGTCTGCAGTCGAGGTTAATTTACTTTATCAACCCGAGTAAAGTTCATATAAATAAACTGCGCCATTGATTGCAGTGAAATCGCATCTCTTTCCACAATATGCACTACTTTTTCCTGGAGTGCCATTTCATGAGACTATGAAGGAGGTTGACGTCAAAGACAGCCGTCCCATACTTGTACTACTTTAGGAACTTTGCAGACGGAGTCTGAGGAAACCAACAGACTATGATGAAATGGCTCAAACAAAGAAATGTGTAATTATTAGCATGTCATTGAAGCTGACCTATGTGCCACCAGCTGTTTCCCCACATTTGTAGTCTTTATGCTAAGCTAAGCTAAGCTGTGCTTTTCCTTTCAGTGTTTTCGTGTTGAATCCTGAATAATGTAAGATGTTGTTTCTCTCTCTTGCAGAACAAAGAAAGAGACAGGAAGACGGCCATCAGAAGTTAACAATGAGGACACAAACCACACGGATGAAATGCAATGATTTTACTGCAACTTGAAGACTTATCAGACTTGTGATGCATCTCAAAGACTTTTGAAGGACTTCTTTAGCACTTCCAGGACTTTTTAAGGAACTTAACCAAGCATTTCCTTTCTTTTTTTTCTTACTTTTTATATCACTTTATAGGAACGTTTTACTTTTTAGGGTGCTTTCAAATGTGTTGAAACACTTCTAAAAAGTCTAACAGTGCTTTTAAAAGGCTTATCAAGACCATGACAAACCTTTCAACAACATTTACAAGAGACTTTTTACTGTATTGTTCAAAGACTTTTTGTTCAGAGTCTGAGGAACTTATGGCACATGATCGAAACACACAGCTTTTGATGAATACAAATTTGTCTTTCATAGGATCTGTGTGTCATTAATGTTTAAACTGAAATATAAATGTATATTTATGTGACATAACATTATATAATGAAACTATGTTATTTAACCGGCATTGACATCCATGAAAAATAATGTATAAAGGTGCAAAACATTGGCTATTGACACAATTTATGGCATCCCAAAAAACTTTAATGGTATTGGTTATTTCTAACGATCATCTCTGAAAATGTCCGAATGCTGGAAAATATCACAAGATGACCAATAAATTGTTTGTATATCTGGGAGTAAATTTCATTTGTATGTTGGTGGTAATTTGAGCCTGGTGTCCTCTCAAATCCTCCCCAGTTCCAACCAATAAACATTATAAACATTTTCCACTGAAACTATCCAAACAGTGGTTTCATCATACTGTTTTGCTGATTCAGGCAGTTAGGGGAGAGATCATTCTGAAGCCGTACAGCAAGCATAAGTGGAGGTTCCACAGTGACTACACCTGTAGCTCACATCAGCCGTACTGCTAGTTTTACTTCCGTCTCCCTCTCTGTCTGTCTTTCTCTCTCACACACTCCCTCTCTCTTGCCGTCTTCTCTTTTGGGACACCGAGATCAGAGCAGTCAGAGAAAGACAGGTTTTGAAGATGAGATGGACAAAGAAGGATTAGAGGAGCAGAGGAAAGACTATTCAGAAGAGAGGGGGAAAAAAGAAAAAAGGGGGGAGCAGAATTGAAACTGCAGGTATGGCTGTTTGGACATCTGCCCGTGTCCCTGCGCTGTCCTCTCTTTTACCTTTCCACATGCTCTTTTTGTCTTCTCTCCTCTCCTCCTCTGCTCTTCCTCTCTTTTCCCTGGAGTGCCACTGGCCAGAGTCTGGTTGGTGATGGCTTTCCAGTGTGTTTAGCCATGCACCACTTACCCTCTCTTTACCTCGTTTTTCATTTTTATCTCTATCTATGCATCTATCTATCTAATCTCTATTCCCTTTTCTTGTCTTCTTCCTTTTTCTCACTACTTTTTCTTCTCTTTCCATCCCTCGCTCCCTCTTTCAGCATCTCTCTACTCTGTTTTTCTCCAAATTTGTCCACTGCCATTATGGAAAATGATCAGAGCATTAGCAATGGGGAATGTTGCCCTTCCTTTTTTTTTAAATTGTCACATTTCTTTTAATAGCTTCTCTCACCGTCTGCCTGCCCTACACTTCTCCCAGACCATAAGCTGTGATATTTTCATCTTCGAGGCCAGTGTGCTCTGTTTTCCTAGTTCGTCGCCCCTCCGGTTACTGCGGCAAAACTTGCAAATCCAGTTCCAGGGAAACCAAAGTTACCTGAAAATGTTGCACAGTTCGACTGATGTGGTAGTTTTCTTGGATTAAGAGAGTTAGAATCTATTAAAACAGTCTATACCCGGTCTACGGTGTCCTAGTTCATCATTTTAAAACCACATAACAGCAGTAGTCCTCCAGCCATTTTCCACCATTAAGTGAAATGTAAATGAGCCGTTCTTTTAATGGAGGCTGCACCGGCTTGGTGTTTCCAAATTATTTTTTAACAATTCTAACAAGCTGTTTCTGCGACCGAGGTGCCAGTTATGGACTTTTTTCCTATAATGTGACAAGTGCCCGTTGGAGAAAAACAACCAACAAAAATTCAAACGTCATTTGATCGCACTGCCAATTTGCAGTTTTTAGTGAAAGCTGCCCTGAAAAACAAAGCTGATTTATTGTGTGTGTAATCTCACAAACACCCGCAAATCCATAAACAGCATCCAACACTTGCAGTCGGTTTTAGAGTTAATGTGTCTGACTTTTCCTCGGCGTGATGTCATGTAAAGGACACTCACTTTAATGAAGTAACTCACAAAGGTGACGAAGGGGGAAGAGGTGTAGATTGAAATTTGGGACTAGAGAAAGACAGATTCACAGCTGATAGCGTGCTTTGTAACGTTTATGAAGCTTTATGCCCTTTAAAGTCAAGCGCCAGAGCAGGTTTTTTCCTCCCCACACGTCACACAAGGAAACAAAAGATTAAATCTCAGGACACACTTTCTGTGTAAGTGGTCCCTGCTGCTCGCTGGTTCCGTAGACAAAGGTTTGAAAAGCTCAGTGTGTCTTGTTTAATAGATCTTAGCACTGTTATGAGCCGATGAGACATAGATAATCTTACTGCGGAACGTTTTTTAAAAGGAAGCAATAGCTTTGAAAAAAAAAAGGCACTGTGTGTCTAGTGTGTCCTAATGACTTCTGGTCCAGTTAGTCTGAGAGTCTGATCTCTCTAGCAGGCCGTCTGTCTGAGCAGCAGAGAGAGGGGGGAAAAGGAACTGGTTCCTCCCACACAGACCAGATCAGGTTCCCCCTACGCCTACACACACGCACACGCACAGATGACCATTTACACACTTGTACGCCAATGAACTTCCATATGCACAAATAGATGGACGAATGCATGCATGTGCAGTCACACGCTCGCAAGCGCGCACACACACCCACGCTAAGCAGAAGGATCTGTGATATAGCTTAGCTGTCTAATGATCTCTGTGTTTTACATTGATGAAAACAGATCAGCTGAGAGGGCAGACTGCTGTGGTGTATTTAAGTAGGCGGTTTTGGACCACGGTGAACCGGAGGTTGGACGATCGACTGGCTCTTATTATCGATATAATGGTCTCTGACGAAGATGCCCCCGTGGAAATCTGGCATGTGAACGCTGATAGCTGAAGTAATAAAAAGCAGCTTTCGGAGTCTTAGGTGGTGCAAGTGCCAGAGAGGGGCTGGTGGATGTAGCCTGAAGACGTGTGAGAGAAATTGAACATGTTTGGTAATATACACAAGGCCTAATGGAAAGCTGGCAGAGCGTAGTTGAGGCCTGAATACGGAAAACACAAACTTGTGATCTATGTTAATCAGTTATGAAAGAAAAAGATATCACATAACGGCTTCATGCTTTCTGGTGAGCTCAACAATAACAATAACTAGAAAATTCCTAAAGAAATTTGACAGTGTGGCTTCTACTGCCCGAAGAAATCGCAATATATACACACGCCAATGTTACCGGTAATGTCATTCAGGTTCAATTGAGATAGCGCTACTCTCTTTTCTGCATTTTAGATTCATACTCTTGGATTGAATCTTGTATTTGTGGGGCTTTCATTTTGAAAGGGTGGGACTGGGTGGGTGAGAGAGGGGGAGAGGAGACAGAATCATAATGCCTGAATGACTGTATGAGAGAGAGACACAGAGAGAGAGAGAGAGACAGACAGAGAGGGAGAGGAGTGTATGTGTGTGTGTGTGTCTCAGTGCCTCTGTGTGTTTATCAACATCACTAATGAGCTCATATAAACACCTGTGTGCTTGGGTGCATGTTGGTGATTGGAGCACCTGTGTGTTAGAGGCTAATTAAGAGAGAGGGTAACCAGTGATTTCCAACAAAACTACCTGTCAAACATATGCCCTCTATACCAAAACCATGAGACCAATCAATAAAATATGGATACCGTGAGAGAGATAAGACTGGCAAACGCGGAGATGTGTTTTTTATGTTTGTGGTCTTAAAAATGTGAGCTCCAGCGCAATATGCAAAACTGGTATCGTCTGCTTTCTTTGAGAAATGAGTGGTCAGATTTAACATGGAGTCTAATGGAGCAGTTGGTTGGAGTTCATGTCGCTCTGTGGCTCTTTGAGCCAAATGTGTAAGTCCGTTGGATTCCACAGACATCTGTGTGCGACAGCACAACATTTCCAAGCTTTTTGGCCAAAAATGGTGTATAAAGAGTAAAAATTGTGGGAGCTGGAGCAATTTGTTTGGAAAAATCACAGAATATTTTCCTGCTCCGCTCCACTCTGACGGTTATGCTCTCACTCTAGCTCTTAACGAGCTGCGCAATACACACCCATTATAAAATCTGAAACAGACCCAAACTTTTCCTGAAACTTAATCTGTGACTTCATGAAAACTGTGCTAGCTATCAAAATGTCCCTTTGGCTCAATAAAGTCCAGCGTTTTGTCTACATTTTAAACTTTGAATCATGTTTCTACGTTAATGTACGGCTAGTCAATATGTGCCCAAATTTAAGTGTTTTTTTAGCTCTCTTCACGCCGAAACCCCATTTACGTGAATGGTGAAATTTTACTCTGTTTTTGGGGATTTTCGGGGAAACCGCTGGGTGAATCTATCCGAAAAATAGATAGCACACTATTCCCGATCAGGCCGCATGTTTTGATGTATTTTTTACGCCGCTGTTGGCAACGCTGTGTGAGGAGAAGCGTGCCAAACTTTCTGGATAATAATAATAATATTATTATTAATCCCAATGGATAATATACAGTGTGCTTTGACACAGGCAGTTTTACTGCCTTTGTGCTACAAAGCCAAACTGAATTATCCCACCAATTGATTTTCCTGTTTCATGTGAACCTTAGTAGGATCGTGACTCGCCAAGATGATAATACATCTCTAAAGGTAATTGGATATTTCACTGTAACTATCTATTGGAAACGGCAGGTCATGTTCTCTGTTTCTCATCTTTACTCCATCTGTCGCTCTGCACATTGAGCCTCCTCATAAATTGTCCTGTCATTGCAAACAGATAATATGGAGCCTGGCAGGCATCAAAGTTTCTAATAGCA